CCAAATCGTGCCGAAAATTGCGGAGACAAAAAATAATTCGGGCCCTTCCACTCATGGCCCTCATGAAAACACTTCGTTCAAATAGGTGCAGCAACAGGGAGACAATTCTTCGCTTCTTCTGGAGTGAAAATTCTTGTTGGGCGGGTCTCCATTACTGAAGAGAACGGGCGCGACTACAGGACACGCCAGCAAGGCTACGGCCACATGTGTCCTGTATCCCGATTGTTGCAGAAGCAGCAACATCTAGCAGGTCGGGGGAAAAACCTCGCAAGCTGCAAAACAGGCCCACTGCTCGTAGCCAATGGGCAGTACTACTGTACACCGTCTTCGGATGACACGTTGAGAGCCAACCACAACGACAAAATCAAACGGTACCATGCATGGAATCTTCGTAGACTCTCGGCCGTAGGCTCAAGTCACGAAACATCACCAGACCGAATGAACATCCCACGACGCGGAGAGTCAGCCACCCTCACTCCCCATACCCCGCCTCCAAAACGCTCACCTCTGAGCACACCCTGCGTAGCCTGCGAAACAAGAACTGCTGTACAAGTGCAACGTCCAGAAAAACGAACACACACACACAAAAACACAAAAACGTTCGGTTCAACACCGAACGCCCCCCCTTCCCTAGACCGAAGCTTAAACCTTGGTCGCTCTGGGGGAGTAAAAACCGACGTCCGACGCCCGCTCTCACCTCTTGACCTGTGACCGCACCCGGCGGAACGCGTTGATCGCCCTCTCCCGTATTCGGTGCTCCTTGTCCGCTTTCCGCGCGGCCTCCGCGGCCTTTCGTGCTGCCTGACACCATCCGACAGAAACACATGGGAGGGAGGACAAAAAACACACAGGCAACTGAAAGTCAACGCTCCTGAACATTACAGACAATAGAGGATATTTCCAAGGGTAGACCAGTCGCAACGTGCATCGAAACTGCCTGACATCCCATCGAAACCGACGGGAGGGAGAGGCGAAACAGGAAACAGAATTTCAACAAACATGGATAGAGACGAGGGAATAAATGTCCAAGGATGGCAGGCCTACCGCACACCAGTGGGGTGAATGATTGGACAAGCCTGGGTCGCCCGTATCTGAATCAACGGTAGACTTAGCGGCGAGCCTATCGTGTCGGAGGACTCGATGCCAGTCACATTTGTACGGCTGCAGACAACAACGCCTAAGGAGAACTACCCGAATAATCTTCGGTATGCTGGTGCAGTAATCGGGTCATTATACACACCTGCGGGCTGTCCAACGAACCAAGGGGAATGATACATCGGACCATTTTCCAACAATTTAGGATGTTGAAATGTTGCTACAGGTCGGATAAACCGTCTGTTACCGTGATCAGTACGTCGCAACAGTCCGTGTGTGCTTTCTTTCCGGGATGAGGATGGATGGCTCGCCCCGGCGGTGCTCGCCCCGACGCTCTTCCTTTCTCTCTCCAAACGTCTTTTGTGAGGTACACACACGTGTACTTTGCAGTCACTCTGCGAGCCTCTGGACACTGCTGTTTGATGCAGTAGCCATTGCCAGATACAACCAAACAAGCTTTCAACACCACGCAAGGTTTTCTTACCAACATATCGCCCCCCTGGAATAAACAAACCAGAAAAACCGAAGCTACAAATAAATGAAATCCAAAAGGACAGCAGCTCATTCTCTTTCTTCAGCGAACAACCAACAATGAACAATAATGGCTTGCAGAACGCACGTACGTTCATTTGTCGGGTTGCCATGATCTCTTTCCGTGCCATCTCCTCCGCCGCCTAACCAACGACATCTCAAATACCCACAGAGCGACACGAATCTGCATTGTTCAACAACGGTATAGCGCATCACGCACGCGCACACCGCAAAAAACAGCCCATCGAACGAACAAAAGAACAAGAAAACCCCCCGCACTAAAACGCAAAAAAAACAACACCGTTTAAGCAGCCAGATCCTCCCTCCACACAAAAACGTAAAGAAGAGCCCACCATTCGAACAACCGAAACCTCCTCGACACGTCAGTCAGTCGGCCGACACAACCCCCCATACACACCTTTTCGGTCGCCTTGGCGGCCTCCGTGGCTCTTTCCGTCACTCGGAGGTCCTTTGTCGTCTTCTGGGCGGCCCTTACCGTCCTCTTCGCGGCCTCCTTCGCCCGCTGCCTCACGCTGTAGTCGGTGTCGACCTTCTGCACAGCCTGCTTCGCCTTGCCCGCGGCCGTCTTGGCCTTCCTTGACAACTCGAACTCCCGCTCGAGGGCTCTGCGTTGTTGGGGGGAAGAGTGCGCCACGGGTAAACCCAAAGAGGGAAGGAGATGAACAAGTCAGCTCAGGCCGGAGCACCATCAATATAAACATTGGTAACGAAAACGTTCAGCATCGTTAACAGCGTGTTGCTTCCATGCTGGGTGGTATTGGGCGTTCTCGGACAGCTCGAAAGCGAGTTCGGTCACAACCGACATCCGGTAAGGGCCATCGCCCGCGTGCGCTCGTCACGTCAGACAAGATGGTGAAATGACACCGATGGTTATTCCCCCAGAAGCACGGAATAGCACAGGGCTATTCGAGGCGCGTGAATGCATCTCACAACGGTCGTGCACAAATAACCCTTGCAGAACGTCCAACTACAGTACTTCTACTTGACAAACAAATCAAGCAAGCTGAGCGAGCTCTAATACACGAAATACGCCTTCTCCTTGCAGAATGTTATACCTGAAATTTACGAACAAACCAAGCGAGAAAGGAAAACGAGCTCTCCCAACACACTCACTGTGCCTTCTCCATCGCCGCGTCTGCAACCGCCCCGGCCCCCTTCGCCACGTTCCCGACGCCGTCCTCCCTCCCGCTGGCCGCCCGCGCCGCGATCGCGCCGATCGCCGCTCCGACGGGGCCCGCCACGAGGCCGCCAACCACTGCCCCGGCTACCGTCGCCCCGGACTTGTTGCCGTCGACGTTGTTACCGTACGCGGAGGAGGACGACGCCGTGCGAGGATCATCGGGGTTCGCGCTGCGATAGCGCTTTGCTCTGCCGCCGCCGAAGTCGTCGTCGACTACCTGTGGGGGTGACGGCGGGGGTAGGGAGGGGGGGGGGGGGG